CTCCCCGGGGGACCCGACCCCGCGGCGGGAGCGCCGCCACGCTCCCAAGCAGCGCACTCTCCAGTGCGCCACCGGGCCGGCCCTATAGCAGAGTTTTTACTGCCTCTCTGTGCTCCAGTCATACCTAATAGACTTCTGAGGGAAGACTGAGGAGCTACAGGAGGTAAATTTCCTTTTACAACTAGCAAAGGCCATTTCCTGAGAACCGCAAATAGCATCAAAAGCCTCAGCAAGCATGATGGTGAAGTTAGGATTCTGAGGAGGAGGGAGAAAAGAAATAGGAACATTAAAGAAGCACCTCAATTATTTTTAATCGTCAGACGACACTTCCTCTGTCAGGCTAAATGTGGACTATAACTCCCTGAGGATTATCAAATATCCTGTTATTGGCCTAACAACCCACAGGCCCACACAGAGTTTCCCAAGACACAGGCAGAAAAAGCACAAATGATTTGCTTGGCATTCACTGGGAAGCATTTCCTCAGCCTGAAACCTTGTCACGTGTAGCAAAGTCTATAGTTTCCTAGGGCAAAAAAGTGGACAGTTTCTGCCACTGTTCACTGGCTTTTTTGGGTCATTCTAATTTAGCTGTTTTTAAAAGTAAATTACAGAGCTGGTGGGCTTTGAGGAGTCTTAAACAACACACAGCCATCTTTTGAAAAATATAATGCTGGTGCACAATATTGTTTACTGTGATGGGAAGGTCACTAAGAGTGACCTTTGAGGTCATCACTCCAGTGACAAAGGCCATACTTCAGTTAGTAGGAAATACTACCAGAATCCTCCCTCAGAAGGCCTACGGGCACTGGGAGGAAAGGTTTCTGCTTTTTTCTCCTTCTGAAGATAAAATTGAGGTCAAAGGACTTGCCCAAGGTCACAGAGCAGCTGGCGTAGGGCAGAGGGCTAATGAGAACTCTGTGGTCAGTCCTGAAGGTCGGGGATAGTCTCACCCAAGGGCTTGCCCACACTTCTCCCTCCATGAGATGGAAAAGGTCCCTTCAGACCTTTCTTTCTCTCTATTATCACTCGGGTAAAGTACACTTAGCATAACAAGGCCAAAGTACTGTAGAAAAAAATGTTAATGCTTCTATGTCT